TGTTCTGATTTTATCTGTTTTGATTGTATATACTGTTTTGTTTGTTTGTTTGTTTGTTAATTAGTTAGTTAGTTTATTTGCTTGTTTTAATCAATTTTAAATCATGCTTTTTATTTGTTTTTGTTTCTAATGTCTCTGTAAAGCACTTTGAATCACCTTGTTGTTGAATTGTGCTATACAAATAAACTTGCCTTGCCTTGGCAAAAGTCTAAAGCAAGCATGTGTGTGAGAGCAAAGTATATGCCTGTCTGTGTGTGTGTGTATGTGTGTGTATTCCTCGCCATACCATACATGGCGGTGACCCTTCGACGAACCAACATGTACAGAGTAGTTTTAAAAGCAAAAGTGAGTGTCTCGCATAACTATAAAAACAGGAACTTGTAGCTGGCTATACTTGCAGGGGAAATTACCAAAGCTGAAAATAAATCTTCTAATCGTCTAGCTCCTTCTGCACAATGACAACCATATCAGGACACATAGAAGCAATGGTCATGTGACTTCCTCTAACTATCAGCATATTCAGTCCTTGCAGAACATGTCTTTCTCAACACGTTCTCACTCCCAAAGCGTAACATTTTACGCTAGGTGACAAATCGTCAACATATTACGTTTTCGGCTACCCACCACGTTCTTAAATGACGCCCTCGGAAAAAAGAGGAAATATGAGCGTCATTGCACTGGATTCCAGCCATAACCCGCCACGTACCATAAGAACGCCGAAGGTCTCCTTTCGCGTTCCTCAGGAACGCTGCGGGACGTGACAAAACGTCGACATGTTACGCCTCGGGAGTGAGAACAGGCTGTCTTTCTTGTGAGATGATAGGAGCTGGCAAGCACAGTCACGGTTTTAGTTCCTCTATCTTGCAGGAATCTATGAGTTTAAAAGGTTACAACATGAAACAGTCTGGCAGGTTCAATAAGTCATGTGTTAACACTTTATAGGCACTTCTTTTTAATTTATATTTTTTTACACATAAATCGTTCTCATTAATGACAATCAATTTCTCCAACACCCAGAAGTGTGATTTATCAATGATTTGTCACCTAGCATAAAATTTTACGCTTTGTAGAGTGCCTGGAAAGAAAGGGGCAACAACTCGCATGCCCAGCATGCCCCACAGAACTTAGCCAAGGCAACCCTCAGCCTCACTCCCCTACCACTTTGCTTATGCCGCTGGTAGAGGCACTTCCTTCGGGGAAATGTGGCCGAAGCACAAAATAGGTGATTGGCGATTCCTGACAACAGTGGGGGCAAACTTTTCTGGCCTCTGTGATTAGTATAGTTAGCACTCTGATTGACAAGCACTAAAAAGAGCGCAAACACATACCTAAATGTTGAGTCTGTGTTTCCGCAGGCCCCGCTAGTTTAGAGACTTATTCCTCATGAAGAACGAAAACAAGACAGAACATCTTCAACCGGTCTTTTACTCGCTAACGAGGGAAGCTTGGTCAGAACCAGGCGGTGGAGCTTAATGCTCCTCACCTGTCTCTAGCCCAAATCCTTCCAAGAGCAGCTCTCCTCACAGCTATTTATTCCCATGACAGTTACAATTAACACAATACAACACAAGCACCTCCCACCGTAGAACCTCCTTGGTTACAAAAGACAAGGCGTGTGTGTGTGTGTGTGTGTGTGAGTGTGGTGTGTGTGTGATGTGTGTGTGGGTGTGTGTGATGTGTGTCGTGAGTGTGTTGACCTCCTGCTCACCAAAACGATCGTAAAAGCAGGAAGCTTACAACACAAGAAACAGATCTTTCAGATGGAATGTATCTACAATAAAACTTCCCCCAGCACAGAGTGGCTGGAGAAGTGGTCAGGATCCAAGGAATGTCTTTGATCCTACTGCTTGAACTAAGACTTTACAAATTTAAGAAACAAAATGACAACATTCAACAATTTGACTTAACACTAACTGACAGGGGTAGAGAGCAAAACACACACATCAATTTGAAATTCAATTTGATTCTGGGGAAGTTATAAAGTGTTCCTTAGCCACCGCCTGTCCGAGGTGGCGCAACAGCTGAAAGACGAGGGTGTCAGAGTCCAGAAGTGAAACTTAAAATGAAAACTAAAGCTCACCAAATCTGATTCTCTTTAAAGGAACCTTAAACTGAGCTCATCCAGCCTTTCTTAACAGCACAGCAGAGCTTCTGTCCAGCACTGGTGAGTACAGATGATCACGATCACGCTGTTTTAAACTGTGTCAGGAAATATGACTGTAATACTGCTGCAAGTGTTGTGTTTTCACATTTTTCTAAATGATGAAATAAGAGTTGATTTAATATCAGCACTGGTCAGATTACATTTGTTGGACAGCGAAAAAGAGGTTTACACTTAAAATTTTAATCTCTAACGTCAGGGTCTGAAGAGCTCGCCACTTTGTGCTTGACACACCTGCAGGCAGAGATGGAGATTCAACTGAGTCTATGAGGTTTGCCTCCACAACAGCAGTGAGTGCAGCTGATCACATCCATGTTTCAACACTCTGTTCATTTCATGCTGACTCGTCACAGTCACACTGGATCCAATAGAAATGTGATCATTCATCCACAGATTGACTGTGCAAACATTTAGCTCTGTCACTTCTCTGGACTTTGGAATTGATTTACAGGGTTTGGACTTCAGTCTACCTGCTTTTATTACTGCTGATTCATTACTTCCTGTACTCAATGTTTCTATTTCCTTTAGCTCTTCACAATAACAGCAACACAGATGATTTATTCTTGAAGTCTTCTAGAGTAGCTTTGTGTGAGTCACATTTTAAATGATCCTTTATCTGATCTACCAATGCCCAATGTTTTAGATATTTTAAAGAGTAACATGAAAGTAATGAGTGGTATAACAAATTTCTTTCTCCTTTGAGTACTTCAGTAATGTACTGCATTATGTGAGTACAAGAAAACAATGATTACAATAAAATGTGTCTAGATGATGGGGTGCAGCAGTAGATCAGGGGAATAGGAAAGGATTCGTGAATGTGTGTGTGTGTTTTAGGTTGGTTTAGCTACAGGCCTGAGCGTGTGTGTAATTGTGTAGAGGGAGAGGAATTTATTGACAGTGGGGGTCTGCCTGTCATAAAAAGGAAATAGGAAGCCACAGTTGGAGGGTGGTAGGACTATATGGAACAGATAGGAAAGAGAGAAGAAGTTTGTTACTCTTCCCCCTGAGGTGCAGAGGGTACAGCATATCCCCACACATCCTGTTTTATAGGGGCCTAAGCATTGGTGTCACACACACACACACACACACACACACACACACACACAATAAATAAACGTAAGGATCTGTGGGACTGCCCCTCAGATCTGCTGGTTACACTTGCATGATCTCCCTCTGCGCAGAGGTCTGTTTGAATAAAAGCATGTGATTTCAGAGTGTTTCTTCTCAGCTGGGAGCCAAAGGACCAGAGGTATAGAGTGATTTACAACAATTACTTTAAAAAAAACGTGTGCTGTATAATATGTATAATACTTAATGTTTTTTTGCACAAACATTTGACTCTTACAGAGGAGCCACTGAGAATCCATAAGAGAATTGAATGTGTAGCCACTAGGGGTGGAGCCGAACCCGAATACGGTATTCGGAAAGGCACAAATAATGTATTTTTTATGAAAACTTATTTCAAACAAATACTTTAAAAAAATCTTTGTATTCGGGAACAAGAAAAACTTTATATCAAAAAGCTGAGTTTCCTTATGAGACCGCTGTGCATGACTGGATGAGTGAGTGACGTGTAAAAGAGGTGACTGACACCGGCTGCTCCACACAGCAACAGAGAACTCTGAGCGAAAAAAAGACTGAACTGCATCACTATTTTTGTTGAATAGATTTTTTGTACCTTAACTGGGTTCCGGAGGCAGTTTATAACTTTTGCGAAGATCGGTAGATTATTTTATGCACTTGTGGGAGTTATATGGTACGTTTAAGTTAGTTTTGCAGACAGCAAGATGTAGGCCATAGACTAATTAACTTTAGCATAGCTTCCCGTCACTCATTAACCCACATGGACTTGGGCAATCAAATAGAAGAGTGTTGCTGTGTGGAAGCATTTTACAGTCAGTACTGCAGATTAAACCAATGTGGTATGTAATGTGTGCAAAAGCCAAATCAGCAGAGGCAGAGATATCAAACATCTGCCAAGATCTGCTATGCATAATCACATGCACTTTAAGCATCCTCTCCTGGTACTGTCTGCCAACCCCCCCCCCCACAAGCACCAATTCATCATCACAACCATGTCCTGCTCCTGCAAGTCAGTTTCGCTGTCTGTTCAGAATCCTCCAACAACGACGGGTGGTGGGGGGTTCATGATGTTCACAATGGTATTTTATCAGTTGTTGGTTTAACCATGGATGAGTCGATGGCTGTTATGTTATTTTCTTTTCAATGACGTTACTTGTTACATGATCATTGCTGGTTTTATGGAAAAATGTCAACTAATACTGCATATTATTATAATGGATATAATTAAAGAATAGTTACACTATAACATTAATTAGAAGTGTAATGCAAAAAATCTTTGAATTTTACTCGAATATAAATACAAATACTTTTCCACCCTCAACAAATACAGATACAAATACCAGCTGCTTTCCACGTCTCTAGTAGCCACTCAGCCTCTACTCAATGTGCTGATAGAGCCTGGTGCTAAACTGTCACAAGTTAATTTGATTGAAGGCTATGGCACTTTGTGGAATTGTGAACAGCATCGGTGTGGTGACCTAGATTTGTTTGCAGTTTTCTCAGTTGCCTCATGCATGAGAAAATCACCAGATAAACACAAGAAAGTTTTAATATTTTATTGTTCAAGAGCAATAAGAATAACCGATTGTGTTTAAACTAACCCCATAAATCTCATAGATGAAATATTCAGTCTTTATATCCTTGTTCGTCAGTAGCAGCTCCTGAAAAGAACGTCTACCACACATCTGTTTAACCATTCAATCTGTAGTGGAGATATCAAAGATAGGCACGGCTGAGGCACTGATTCAGTCTTTGAGCACTACGGTCACCCCGGTGTGTCGGCCAGAACACCACTTAAGGCCAAATTGTCCCAGAGTATGAAAGAAGGAGGGAGCTTGAGGTTCCGTTTGAGGCACTTTATTGTCACCACAATTTCTGGGGCTGTAAACACAGCGGGTGGACATAGGTGTGTGTGTGTGTGTGGTTTCCTACAAAGGAAATAAACAATGGAAATAACGATAAATAAAGAGAATAGACAAGTAAAACACTCAAATACAGACATAATACAATATAGTTAACATAATCACATATAAAGATCAGAAAAATATAATACACTTCAAACTGCTCACACTATGCAATTAAACAGCATTAGTGCGAGGTTAAGCAACCGTACGTCCGGTAGTTGTACAAAATAAAAGCGCCCCCATTACAAGCAGCTATAATGCTCTTATTGTGAAGGGCAAGGGGGAACGCCATACTTCCGGTCAAACTACGTTCGCTATTTTATTAATCCTAGTACCTAATTGTTTGCTACAAACTCCGCTACTTTAAAGTAAACAATCACAAGCATCACATACAACATACAGAGAAGGTCTGATAACACAGGAATGACGTTATGGACATACGAGCGACCGTACATGCGTCAACAAAGCTAAACCGGGGTAAGCTAACAACATAAATTAGCATTTGAAATGAGGGTGAGCTTGTTGTAACTTTATGCAGCGTTGTTCCAACTGCTGGTTTAACGTGGGTTGCGGTCAAAGTCAACTTTAGATCAAGCACAGAGGACTGAGACGAGGCTATGGTGGAGGTCGGGTCTTTTACTCAGCTCCCTTTCAATCACATACAATACCACAGTACCACCTACTGGTGGGAGGTAGTAATAGCTGCTGCTTATTACAATATACCACATCCCTCTTTTCCGAGATAAAGATACTACCTCTTAACTCCAATATTTTGTAACATAAATGCACCTTTTAAATCGTAGGAACATTAACAGTATTATATTCTTGAGACATTAAGTAAAGCACACCTTAGATTGCCTATCACTTGAACAATGCAAATACATATCAGTGCAGTGTTTTGAAACAGATGACACATGGATGAGACATGTCAAAATGAACATATGAAACATGACATATTTTCTCTCTTTTCCAACAAGACAGTTATCTAACTTGTACAGAACAACTCAGGTACAGGGTAGAGTGACTTTAAGTTTCCCAATCACTTAGTCTCTATACCTGGCAGGGCGTATTATTGCTCGGCCACTGCGTGTGTAACATGTGGGTGTATTGTCCATACTTGCAGGACGAGAGTGTTGTGGGGTGTCACTTGCTGGTGGCACAACTGGCTCTTGGGCGTGAACAGACAGTTCATCTGGGTCCATGGATGTGTCCTTAAACAGACTTGGGTGTATTTTCCTCAGATGTCTCCTGTTCCTCCTGAGCACCTCACCCTCTGGTGTTTGCACAGTGTAGGAGCGTGGTTCCTCTCGCCGATGAGCTACAACAGCTGGCTCCCAACCGCGCCGTGTTTGCATGTGCA